GCATCGGTGTTTGCTCCCTCACGACGCTCCGCCAGCCGGAGCACGGCTGAAACCCAGCCTCGACCCAGGTTGAACTCAGACTTCTGCGACTCGAACGACCCCTCCTCGTTCCATCACTTCTCGAGGCACGACGCGCCCCAGCTCCCTTGCGAGCCCCGTCGCAACGCTGCGTCGCAAGCCGAGTCGCGAGACTAAGCGCGACTCGAACAGACTGCACTCAGACTGTCACTTTAACGACCCCTCGTCGTCCCATCTCTCCTCGAGGCACAATCTGCCCCAGCTCTCTTGCGAGCCCCATCGCAACGCCGCGTCGCAAGCTGAGTTGCAAGACTGAGCACGACTCGAACCAGACTGCTCATTCGTGATGTGCGCTTGTGCTTAAACTCAAAACTTGACTCCCCTCTCTGCGCATCTCTTGCGAGAGGAACAACAAACCAAAAAAAACAGATGTCCTCGGAATGTCAGCACAGACTCCCCCCTGTGACCTTTTGGCTCCCTCCTTGCTTGTCCTGCGTGGGTCATCCCGAGGCCAGACCCCGTTGGAAGACAAAGGTGGTCGAGGAGATTTATGCAATACTTTATGTGGTCCTGTGTGTTACATTTATTCTTGATATTTCTTATGAGTTCCCTCGGTCTTAGTATCGTGGTTATTATTCGTCTATGTTTAATGAATATTCGTAATGATCCTCGTTACATCATTATTTTGAGGGCTTCGCCAAGTTTAGTTCTCCAGAGATTGGTGTTTTATTCTGAGTTATATTTTAATGTCCTGAGGTTAAGTGTAACTAAGTTTCCACTTAAGCTTTCTGGAATTCGTACTCTTTAGTTTTTAGGAAGGTCATATAGATAGAAAACATATAATTCTAAATAATATGTATGCGGTGAATACGAGTAATATAAGGGAATTACTAATAAAAAGCCCCTATTGTTTGTTGGTTAATTCTTTTTGTTAAGTTTCTACTTTTCGGTAAGGAAAACGTTAAGGAAAACGCGAGTTGCAACCGTTGTTATCCTTTACTCTGCACCTTATCTGTGCATCTCCAGATGTCTTGGGAGGTTGGTCCATCGATCTTTTGTCCATCTGGATGTCTTTGACCTCTCTGTGACCGAATTCTTACCGTTTTAATGGCCCTCCATGTTTCATAGATTCCTGGTGTGCTTGTGAAGAGTAGTGGATTGTTTTCATTATTTAATTAAAAAATATATATAGATACTAGCTGTACTACCCGGCTTCGCCCGGGACTTGTATCTACCACGGCCGGCCGCCTTTGTCTCCCCAGTGGCGATGTTAATACGCTACAGCAGTTACTCGTTTGAGGCAGAGTCGACCTAGGGGAGGTTCAAATAATCGTCACCGGTGGTGGCCGTGAGCGGGAATCGAACTGGGTTCGCCGGGTTGGTAGCGCAGCGTAGCGTTAAGCACTACACCCACCGCTCCTCACACACCACACACGCACAGACACACACACAGACACACACACAGACACACGCAGACACACACAGACAGAGACACACAGACACACAGACAGCACGCTAACCACTACACTACCGCTCCCCACACACCACACACGCACACACACAGACACACACACAGACACACACACAGACACACACACACAGACACACACACACAGACACAGGCAGCACGCTAAGCACTACACTACCGTTCCCCCTACACAACACACGCGCGCGCGTCCATAGGTACACATACACGCGCTTGCTGCAGACACACACGACTTTCAGGGTGCGTACGGCAGTAAACGACTGAAATAATAAAGCGGCAATGCTGTGTAAGGAACGCCTTAGACCCGCATTACACATTTGTGTAATGCGAGCGTAAACACACAAACACACACAAACACATACACAATACACACACACATACATGCAGACACACAGACAGACACATAACACACATACATACACACACATACAAACACAGAAACACATACACACACATACATAGACACACACATACATACACACAAACACATCCACAGACGTACATACACACATACATACAGGCACGCAGACATACACATAAACACATACAAAAAAACCCACATACATACACACACACATACATACACACAAACACATGCACACACATACATACACACATGCATACAGACACACAGACATACACATAAACACATACACACATACACATGACCCGGCTTCGCCCGGGACTTGGATCCACCAAGCCCGGCCGCCTTTGTCTCCCCAGTGCCGATGTTAATACGTAACACCAGTTACTCGTTTGAGGCTGAGTGGACCTAGGGGAGGTTCAAATAATCGTCACCGGTGGTGGCCGTGAGCGGGAATCGAACTCGGTTCGCCGGGTTGGTAGCGCAGCGTAGCGTTAAGCACTACACCCACCGCTCCTCACACACCACACACGCACAGACACACACACAGACACACACACAGACACACGCAGACACACACAGACAGACACAGACAGACACACACACACACAGACACACAGACAGCACGCTAAGCACTACACTATCGCTCCCCACACACCACACACGCACACACACACACACAGACACACACACACAGACACAGACAGCACGCTAAGCACTACACTACCGTTCCCCCTACACAACACACGCGCGCGCGTCCATAGGAACACATACACGCGCTTGCTGCAGACACACACGACTTTCAGGGTGCGCACGGCAGTAAACGACTGCAATAATAAAGCGGCAATGCTGCGCGAGGAACGCCTTAGACCTGCAACACATTTGTGTAATGCGAGCGTAAACACACAAACACATACAAATACATACATACACACACATACACACAAACACATACACACACATACACACACATACATACACACACACAAACACATGCACACACGTACATACACACATACATAGAGACACGCAGACATACACATAAAGACATACAAAAAAACCCACATACATACACACACACATACACACAAACACATACATACACATACATACACACATACATAGAGACACACAGACATACACATAAACACACATACACATGACCCGGCTTCGCCCGGGACTTGGATCCACGATGCCCGGCCGCCTTTGTCTCCCCAGTGACGATGTTCACACACGACAGCAGTTACGCGTTTGAGGCTGAGTGGACCTAGGGGAGGGCCAGGTCCGTTTCAAATAATCGTCAGCGGTGGTGGGCGTGAGTTGGAATCGAACTGGGGTCGCTCAAGCAGCTTAATGACTGTTTGTACAAAGAACATATAAAGAATCGATTATAATAACCAGGCAAGAGTCCACATTATAGACTGCCAGTACACGCACTCAGCTTCATAAGCAGGCTAGAGTGTACATGATAGACTGGCAGTACGCTCACCCAGCTTAATGAGTATTTGTACAGTGAACATTAAAGTAATCGATTGTTGGCGCGTTGGGTTTAAAAGTAATATTAATAGCACACATTGTGGTGGGGGTGTAGTGAAGAGTAGGAAAAACTTTGATGAATTTACCTCAGAGTGGCGTGGTGGGTGTCGAGGCCTAGTAGCGTGCAAAGCCTGCGGCCTCGCCTAAAATTGTCGGCTTGGAAGAGGCAGGGTACGGGTGGCGTGCCTTCCCCCCCCCCCCCCCTCAGCGCTCCAACAATACTGTGTAATGGCTATTATTTAATTAAATACGGAGCTTATGAAAGTGGCGAAGGCGTGGCTAGCCGTTGGCAGGGGCAACCGCCGTCCAATGAAACTGCAGCCCTTGGCGAAGGCGTCGCTAGCCGTTGCCAGGTCCAATGAAAGCGGCGAAGGCGTGGCTAGCCGTTGCCAGGGGCAACCGTCGTCCAATGAAAGTGCGTATGGGCCGAAATCCACACACACAGACAGACAGACATGAACGATTTTATATATAGATAAAAAAAAACATTTTTTTCTTAATTATTCTTAATATTAATAACGGAAAACAGGGCATAGATACAACACCATGCATTATGCAGGATTAGCAGTATCAAAGGGAGGGAGTAAGGTTAGAATTAATAAAGGGAAGGAATGTTAATAATATGGCGCCACAGCAACTAATATGGTTATAGACTATACATTGTAATATTACACTGTTTTATTCTACCCACCCAACTGTATACCAACACTGCTATATATTCACTATAAAATTACGATACTATATATTACCTTATACATTGTATTAAACATTACACTTTAATACTATTTATTATTATACAATATGCTATACACTATACCATTAACCGTCGTGTGAAATGTACTAAGAGGAAGCAACGAAATATGTCAATGGGAGAGTGGTGATAGGAAGCTTGCAGCGGAGCAAAGAATCCATTCCCTGCAGAGTGCATATCAAGAGGAATTTAGCATATTTATGGGAAATGCAGATATGCGATTAGTACTACTTGTGAAATGCGTAGGAGGATTGGCGAGGGGTTTAAAGTCATTATGCCCATGCATTATGCAGGATTAGCAGTATCAAAGGGAGGGAGTAAGGTTAGAATTAATAAAGGGAAGGAATGTTAATAATATGGCGCCGCAGCAACTAATATGATTTTAGACTATACATTGTAATATTACACTATATATTATTCTACCCACCCAACTGTATACCACACTGCTGTATATTCACTATACAATTATGAAACTATATATTACCTTATACATTGTATTAAACATTACACTTTAATACTATGTATTATTATACAATATGCTATACACTATACCATTGACCGTCGCTTGATGCAGCAAATCTGGATGTGACGGTCCCACCTGATGACGGAGACTTGTGTTGCCTCCGAAACGTCGTGATTTTTATTGTTTTATTTTTATTAATTTTAATTTCATTTTTTACTTACGTGACTTTACCGAAAGAACTAAGAGTATAAAACCAACTTAATTACGGTGTGACTTTGGGTGTCGGTGTCACTGTGAGTGTGTGTCACGGTGTGGGTGCGCGTCACGGTATGTGCGCGTCACTGCGAAGTGAAACCAGCTCACTTCCCAGCAGTGACCCCCATGGTGAGACTCACGTAGTCGCATCTCACGGCGTGACCCCCGTGCTGCTGCTGCTGCCACCTTCCTCCGCTGGCCATGGCGAGCAGCTCTCGCTGTCCCCTGGTCGCGTTTCCAGCGCCGCTGCCCCTGCTCGTGACGGATGAGCAGGGCCGCTTCTGCGTGGTGGTAGACACGGCCCGGGCACTTGCGAGGATCGCGAAGCCCGTGGTGGTGGTGGCCATCGTGGGCCGGTACCGCACCGGCAAGTCCTTCCTGATGAACAGACTCGCGGGGACCAGGGCCGGATCGTGCACCCCGGTGCAGGGTGAGTGTGCTGTGTGTGTGCAGGGTGTGTGCCGTGTGTGCGTGTGTGCAGGGCGAGTGTGCTGTGTGTGTGTGCAGGGTGAGTGTGCTGTGTGTGTGTGCAGGGTGTGTGTGTGTGCAGGGTGAGTGCGCTGTGTGTGTGTGCAGGGTGAGTGTGCTGTGTGTGTGAGTGCAGGGTGAGTGTGCTGTGTGTGTGTGCCGTGTGAGTGCGCTGTGTGTGTGTGCATGGTGAGTGTGCTGTGTGTGTGTGCAGGGTGAGTGCGCTGTGTGTGTGCAGGGTCAGTGTGCTGTGTGTGTGTAGGGTGAGTCTGCTGCGTGTGTGTGCAGGGTGAGTGCGCTGTGTGTGTGTGTGCAGGGTGAGTGTGCTGTGTGTGTGCAGGGTGAGTGTGCTGTGTGTGTGTGCAGGGGGAGTGCGCTGTGTGTGTGTGCATGGTGTGTGTGCTGTGTGTGTGTGTGCAGGGTGAGTGCGCTGTGTGTGTGTGCATGGTGAGTGTGCTGTGTGTGTGTGCAGGGTGAGTGTGCTGTGTGTGTGTGCATGGTGAGTGTGCTGTGTGGGTGTGCAGGGTGAATGCGCTGTGTGTGTGTGCATGGTGAGTGCGCTGTGTGTGTGCAGGGTGAGTGTGCTGTGTGTGTACATGGTGAGTGTGTGTGTGTGTACAGGGTGAGTGTGTTGTGTTTGTACAGGGTGAGTGTTGTGTGTGTACAGGGCGAGTGTCGTGTGTGTACAGGGTGAGTGTTGTGTGTGTGCAGGGTAAGTGTGTGTACAGGGTGTGTTGTGTTTGTACAGGATGAGTGTTGTGTGTGTACAGGGTGAGTGTTGTGTGTGTGCAGGGTAAGTGTGCAGGGTAAGTGTGTGTGCAGGGTGAGTATGCTGAGTTCATCTAGGGTGAGTTTTGCTGGCTGGCTGGCTGGAGGGACGAATAGGTGGGCGGTTACGTGCAAAGGCCGTGCGGACTGCTCGGTGTGTGAAGCAATTGATGTGGAGAGACAGCTACGGGGAGGAGGTACTTAGGTCAGGTTTTTTTTATCTGTTAATTATGTTAACACCGCTCACCGCGTGTTATGCGGGCCAGTATAGTGGTTGGGAAGAGTGGCCTCTGCAGACACGACGGTTGATACGAGGGTGAGCGTGGAATCGTCCCGCTGCCCAAACCGGTTTGGCCGGCACTGTGACGCAAGCCCCGCAGTCCTCCATTCGTTGGTGGAAAATCCCACACACGGCCGCACATTCATTTCGTTCACGAGCACAAGACAATAGCTTTGCACACAATCTTCATGAGCACTGCATGATAACAAAACTGTCTCACAGAAAGATACATATAATAGGCTGACCTTGTAGGTGATAGCCCTACTTCAGGCAGGGTTCGGAATGAATGTGGCGACTTATCCGTGTCACCATCTGCACGAGAGGCCCACCCTTGATCTGCCAGGCAAGCGGCGGCCAATGCACGTCGACACGAAACGTTTAAATGTCACAGTTGGAATTTTCCGAAATAAGTGGAATAGCAAATATACCATAATATTCATGTGGTCATCGCTGACTGCGCTGATGTAATCGACTTCCTATAATTGAGAGCATTGTTTAACCATGGGAGGCTGCGATCCAGTTTTGAACCCGGATCTTGGTGATGCTACTGGCCCAGTGCTCTGATCTGATTCCTTAGTAGCCCGTAAAGGCAGGTGGCCACCTTTCTAAGTTCCACATTTCAATATCGAGGGCACTCTGGCCACAGGAGAACCACTGATGATGATCAGACGCTACTTCTATTATTATTGCTTTAAATTTTTGTGTAAGGTGGTTTTTTTTTTATATTTATTCAGAGTAAAATGTGGCTGTGATTGTAGGAGTAATGTGTGGTCATGTTTAAGATAGTTACGTATCTTATACGAAGCACACTTCAAACCTTTGGCATTCTCTGGAAGGCTCCACAGCTCCCTCGTGGAGATCCACGGGGACGTCACCCGTGGATCTCTAAGGTGACATCACTTGTCGGTCTCCACAGCGACGTAACCAGTCGATCTCCACAGTGACGTCACTTGTCGGTCTTCACAGCGACGTCACCTGTCAATATCCACAGCGACGTCACTTGTCGGTCTACACAGTGACGTCACCTGTCAATATCCACAGCGACGTCACCTGTCGGTCTACACAGTGACGTCACCTGTCGGTCTTCACAGTGACGTCACTTGTCGATCTCCACAGTGATGTCACTTGTCGGTCTACACAGTGACGTCACCTGTCAATATCCACAGTGACGTCACTTGTCGGTCTACACAGCGACGTCACCTGTCGGTCTTCACAGTGACGTCACTTGTCGATCTCCACAGTGACGTCACTTGTCGGTCTTCACAGCGACGTCACCTGTCAATATCCACAGCGACGTCACTTGTCGATCTCCACAGTGACGTCACTTGTCGGTCTTCACAGCGACGTCACCTGTCAATATCCACAGCGACGTCACTTGTCGGTCTACACAGCGACGTCACCTGTCGGTCTTCACAGTGACGTCACTTGTCGATCTCCACAGTGACGTCACTTGTCGGTCTTCACAGCGACGTCACCTGTCGATCTCCACAGCGACGTCACTTGTCGGTCTACACAGTCACGTCACCTGTCGATCTCCACAGCGACGTCACCTGTCGATATCCAGTCACGTCACCTGTAGATCTCCACAGCGACGTCACCTGTCAATATCCAGTCACGTCATCTGTCGATCTCCACAGCGACGTCACCTGTCGATATCCAGTCACGTCACCTGTCGATCTTCACAGTGACGTCACCTGTCGATATCCAGTCACCTCACCTGTCGATCTTCACAGTGACGTCACCTGTCGATCTTCACAGTGACGTCACCTGTCGATCTACACAGTGACGTCACCTGTCGATCTACACAGTGACGTCACCTGTCGATCTACACAGTGACGTCACCTGTCGATCTTCACAGTGACGTCACCCGTCGATCTTCACAGTGACGTCACCTGTCGATCTCCACAGTGACGTCACCTGTCGATCTACACAGTGACGTCACCTCTCCATCTTCACAGTGACGTCACCTGTCGATCTCCACAGTGACGTCACCTGTCGATCTACACAGTGACGTCACCTCTCCATCTTCACAGTGACGTCACCTGTCGATCTCCACAGCGACGTCACCTGTCGATCTTCACAGCGACGTCACCTGTCGATCTACACAGCGACGTCACCTCTCCATCTTCACAGTGACGTCACCTGTCGATCTTCACAGTGACGTCACCTGTCGATCTCCACAGTGACGTCACCTGTCGATCTCCACAGTGACGTCACCTGTCGATCTTCACAGCGACGTCACCTGTCGATCTACACAGTGACGTCACCTGTCGATCTTCACAGTGACGTCACCTGTCGATCTTTACAGTGACGTCACCTGTCGATCTACACAGTGACGTCACCTGTCGATCTACACAGCGACGTCACCTGTCGATCTTCACAGCGACGTCACCTGTCGATCTACACAGCGACGTCACCTGTCGATCTTCACAGTGACGTCACCTGTCGATCTACACAGCGACGTCACCTGTCGATCTACACAGCGACGTCACCTGTCGATCTACACAGTGACGTCACCTGTCGATCTTCACAGTGACGTCACCTGTCGATCTTCACAGTGACGTCACCTGTCGATCTTCACAGTGACGTCACCTGTCGATCTCCACAGTGACGTCACCTGTCTCCAGGATCCTTCACAGTGACGTCACTTGTCGATCTTCACAGTGACATCACCTGTCGATCTTCACAGTGACGTCACCTGTCGATCTTCACAGCGACGTCACCTGTCGATCTCCACAGTGACGTCACCTGTCGATCTACACAGTGACGTCACCTGTCGATCTACACAGTGACGTCACCTGTCGATCTACACAGCGACGTCACCTGTCGATCTTCACAGCGACGTCACCTGTCGATCTACACAGCGACGTCACCTGTCGATCTTCACAGTGACGTCACCTGTCGATCTACACAGCGACGTCACCTGTCGATCTACACAGCGACGTCACCTGTCGATCTACACAGTGACGTCACCTGTCGATCTTCACAGCGACGTCACCTGTCGATCTACACAGCGACGTCACCTGTCGATCTACACAGCGACGTCACCTGTCGATCTACACAGTGACGTCACCTGTCGATCTTCACAGTGACGTCACCTGTCGATCTACACAGTGACGTCACCTCTCCATCTTCACAGTGACGTCACCTGTCGATCTTCACAGTGACGTCACCTGTCGATCTTCACAGTGACGTCACCTGTCGATCTCCACAGTGACGTCACCTCTCCATCTTCACAGTGACGTCACCTGTCGATCTTCACAGTGACATCACCTGTCGATCTTCACAGTGACGTCACCTGTCGATCTTCACAGCGATGTCACCTGTCGATCTACACAGTGACGTCACCTGTCGATCTCCACAGTGACGTCACCTGTCGATCTTCACAGCGACGTCACCTGTCGATCTTCACAGTGACGTTACCTGTCGATCTTCACAGTGACGTCACCTGTCGATCTTCACAGTGACGTCACCTGTCGATCTTCACAGTGACGTCACCTGTCGATCTTCACAGTGACGTCACCTGTCGATCTCCACAGTGTCGTCACCTGTTGATCTTCACAGTGACGTCACCTGTCGATCTCCACAGTGACATCACCTGTCGATCTTCACAGTGACGTCACCTGTCGATCTTCACAGCGACGTCACCTGTCGATCTTCACAGTGACGTCACCTGTCGATCTACACAGTAACGTCACCTGTCGATCTCCACAGTGACGTCACCTGTCGATCTACACAGTAACGTCACCTGTCGATCTCCACAGTGACGTGATGTTCCGATGTCCACAGCGATGTCACCTGTCGATCACCACAGTGACGTCACCTGTCGATCTCCGCAGTAACGTCACCTGTCGATCTACACTTTGATGTCACCTGTCGATCTCCGCAGTGACGTCACCTGTCGATCTTCACAG